GGGCTTTCCTGCACAGTCAAAGCAAGAACAAAATTATCAGCATCACCCAAAATCATAAAATCCACCACGCAGGGTCAGAAATCAATAAAGGCTCTGTACAAATCATGCTGCAGACAATTGTTATGGAATGGTACGGGTGTCATTGTACACAACAGCGTGAACTTAATCCATAGAAACCATGGCATCAACAAAAACAGACCAAAGGAGTTGCTAAACGCATTTCAACCAACTTTGGTGTGAGAAGTATATTATGATTTCAATACAAAAAACAGGCGTGGTTTAACGCTAGGTGTGTGAGAAGTGACTGTTCAAAAGCAACAATGGTGGCTGCAAAGAAGTTAGTAACGATGCTGCTGGCATCACATCAGAACTGGAGACCGGAGGAGTATTTCTTCACTGACAGAAGAGCAAAGAACCTCACTGAAGGTCTTCTCTCGACAGAGTTTGACTACGTTATATGATGATTTGTTGAAGTTTGCTTTTAACAGACGTGATAGACGGATGGATCATCTAATCTCTAAACTGTTTCAAATGACAACTTCCTCAATTGTTCTGTGTAACAAACCATCTGGTGCAGTCAGGTAAGAAAAATCAGCGTTATCTAAAATAAAAACTAACTTCCACATGCGACTTACTTGAGTTCTGTTCGGACAATCTTCAGCTGCTCAATCTCCTTCCTCTTTGACCCTCCGACCATCGACAGGCGCTCCCCAGCCGACTCCTCAGGTTGGCTGCTGCTCCCCGGCTTCTCCTTCTCTTCCTTTATCAAACCGCCGCTCCCGCCACCGCGGGTCGACCTCTCTCTCTCCTTTTCCTTCTCTTTCTCCCGCTCTCTGTCTTTCTCCTCTTTCTTTATAATGTCCTTATCTTTCTTTTCCTCCTTCTCTTTTTTCTCCTCTTTCTCCTCCTCTTTTACCGTCGCCTCAGTTTCTACTCCAGGCTCTGTTTTTACCGAGGCTCCTAAAGAAAGAACATGAAACAATGTGAAGACGGTTTCAAACAGGACAGTACTAATATGTATCACAGTGAAATTTTTTATATTTCTGAACAAAAGGGAACAAACATGTCACAGTCCGTCAACTAGACGTTTATTACCGGTGCTGCTCGGTGTGGAGGAGCCGTTGTCAGGCTCTGTCTTGATCACAGGTTCCCCAGAGACGGCCGGGGTGGACGGAGAGGTTGTCTCATCCTTCACGTCCATCTCTGTGCTCGACTGGGACTGGAGGATGGCGTTGCCCTTTGAGGCGCGGACCTGCAGAGGCAACAGATAAATGTGTTTCGGTGCAATGTTGTTTTCTCCTTATTAACCCTATAGGTCAAACTGAACCACTTCATTTCTTTTGAGGTGACAGTTTCTCTTGGTCTCCTTGTGACCTACCTGGTTGAGCTCAGCTTGTGTTTCTCTCAGTCTGATCTTGTATTTCACCACCTCTCCCTTCATCTGCTGATTGTGGGTTTGCAGTGTGCTGATGAGGTGACGCATCTCCCTGTTGATGGGACCTGAGAGAAAGAGAGTAAAAACGCACGAACAAGAGATGAAGGCTGGCTATCTTAGCAGTATTCCCTTTTCAACAAAATCCATGCACCTCGTTCATTATTTAGGCCAGGACCTGTCGGTTACCTGCTTGTTCGTTGGCAGCGAGAGTCTGTTCAAATTCGATGCGCAACATCTCATACTCCTTCCTGACCTGAGCCAGCGTGTCCTCCAGCTGAAACACCTCTGTACGAACCTTCCTCTGCAGAGCCACTTCATCATTCTGCACGCAGAGGGGATGAGAGTAGGAAAGAGGTCATACAGGCAGACACTAACACACACAGGCAGACACTAACACACACACACACTTACCTCCATGTGCTCTAGCTGTCGAAGCCTTGCCGTCCTGGTAGTGTTGAGACGAGCACGTGTCTCATCTAACTGAGACTTGAGGATCAGAGACTCATTGTAGAGCACAGAAAACTGCGACTGCAGACAGCGGTACTCAGACGTCTCTTTCACCATGCCCTCTGCTCGATTCAGCAGCTCCGTCTGAGAGGGACACAGAAAAATAAGGAAGTCCTACGGTTTAATTCAGCTTTAATACTTTCAATACATTAATGGGCCATTTTCAAGTAATAAGTCCACCTTCATGCTGTTGTTCTCCTGGTGCACATTCTGCAGGTCCTGCTGAAGCTTCTGCAGCTCAATGAAGCGGTTGTCTGCCAGCTCCCTGCTCTCCTCCATCTCACTGTTCATTTCTTCAAACTTTGAAGAACAAAAATGTCAACAGGTATGAAAAGCAAGTTGTAGGGGAAAAAACTAAATCAAGATTTTGAAGGGATCTCTCACTTCTCTCTCTCTTTTTTTATTTAAATACCAACCTTTCTCTTGTTAATCGTGATGGTGCCACAAACGCTGCTGGCCTCCCCACACACCTTATAGCCTTTGCTGTTCACCTGGGAGGCATTAGGGGGAGTGTTACAACATACTTCAATATAAACATCGAAACATTTGCGCAACACTGCCGCATGGAAACGAGACACACAGACTCATAGAGAAGACACCCTCACCCTCTCCAGTATCTCGATCAGGTGCGCGTTCAGTCTGTTCTCTCGGCGGCGGATCTTCTCCATGTCCCACTGGAGCTCCTCGATGAGAACCTGCAGCTCGCTGACGCGCTGGTCTGCTTTGTTAGCTGCTCGCCCCAGAGGCCGGGACTGGATACGACAGGAATACACACATTTTTTACTAAAAACCAAACGAACAATGTACTTCATTACTTACTTTACACACTGAGCTACAGTGTGATAAAGCATTTGGTTTAATAAAGAAAGACCCATTGTGCAAATAAACAGCCTCCAATTAGATAGAAAGACAGAAAGGAGTGCAGTACACACAGCAATTCTCAAGACTTACACATTGACATGCATCTATAACTGTTAAAGACGGCTAAATCTGAGAAATAACATATGGAATAAGGAAGGAAGATTTGTACCTCGCTTGTCATGTGACTGTGCTTCTGCTTGAGGTCCTCAGTCAGCTGTTGCAATCGCTCGTTTTCACTGGTCAGGAGGGAGTTCAGTCTGGAAGCGGCCTTCCATAAAGTGCCCTCTGGGAAGAAAAGCAACAAAAATAAACACAAAAAAAACCTCCCACATAATCTGAATAGATGAATTTCACCCTCAGCTGTAATCTACGTCTGGCATTTCATCATGTCTCCCTCCGTTGTATCTCACCGGCTCCAGAGTCCAGCTCTGCCTTCAGTTGGTCCACGGTGCTCTTCAGACACTCATAGATCTCCACCACATGATTAGCCTGCTTCTGGCTGGACTCCACCCTCTCCTGCAACTCAGCCTCCATCTCCTCGCTGCTGCTGCTCGCCAGCGTGGCCAGGAAGGAGTTGGCTGCCTCTCCCTGTTGGCCTGCGTGAGAACAGCAGGGAAACAGGTCTGTGATCTCTGGTTTGTTGTTCAACTCTCCGCGTTATCGCTCTGTGTGTCCGCTCCAACTTTACCTCTGTCCTTGGCCCTCTCCTGGTTGGAGTCGCCGTCAGGCTCTGGAGTGTCCGGCTTGAGGCTCCGTCCCTCACCGGCCACAGATTTCTCAGGTTCGCAGCTTGCTTGGTCATAACGCCTGACGGTCAGCTTAATGTTTTCATCAAACTGAGGGAGAGAGAACAGGACCACAGTTCGGCTCTTTGATCTTTACAGGAGAGCAGAAGTTGTACAAGCAGTGTTTACTTTTGCTTCTTTGTCTGAATTTGTTTACCTGATTCCAGTATCTATTGAGGATCAGCAAACTGGCGTCATCGGTGGCTTGCCGGGTCTCCAGTCTCTCAATTCGCTCTCGCAGTTCATCCTCAATCACCTGCAAACCAACAAGCCAAAACGGATTAACCTTTCTCCGAACAAGAGAGCACACACCTGTAGCTTCCTCTACGCGTGCGTACGTTAGTTATAAACTAATACGGAAGAGGTCATTCACCTGTCTTTGATCCAGAGACTCTCCCAGCTTTCGGTTCTTAGTCTGAAGAGCTCTGATGTCTTGTTCTTCCTGAAAAATAATTCAAAACACGAGCACAAAATGAATGACACTTTACACTCCTGGGGGAGTAAGTGTATTGGCAGTAAAGGTGGTGGGAGGGGGGCTCACTGAGTTGGACACTCCTCCCAGTTTGATGACCGTCTCCACCGCGGTGCTCCCCCCGGCTGCGGCGCTGACACCGGGTCCTCCGTCCTCTCCTTCCCGCTCCCTCCGCTTCTCTGGGGGCGCACCGGAGGACGAGGAACCGCTGGGGTCAGCAGGACGCTTCTGTCCCGACATCCTCAGACTCCTGAAACAAACAGAGGCAGAAAAATGACACATTTGAGACCGATAATAGATGACAAACGTGGATTCAGATGGTTCCGCTGAATGAACGACAACGCTGAGTTGTAACATACAGGTAACTAACACTATAATGTCGAAGATAACCGCCTTCACGTTTACCCTGAAGCCTCACTCGTCTATCTAAGTGACGAGCAGTCCAAACACAAGCACGTAAAAGTGATTTATCGCGTTTTAAAACCCGAACAAGCTGATTAAATCAGTCAGTGTAACGTCAGGCTAACGTTAGCCGTTTGCTACCGTCAACTTTAAACGCCGCGCATGCTCAGACGGCCTCGGCTCTGACCCGGCGGATCGATGCATTTACTTAAACATATTGTCAATATCACTGCCGGCTAACCGGAGTCTTACCGCTTTTAACGTTAAGAGTTTTATAAGCAACTAAATGTGTCTGTGGCTGTTGTTGTTGCGGCTCCTCGCCTCTCGGAAACGGAAGTGTTAATGATCTCAGTGGGATCTTCAGCGGACACTGCGCCCCCTAGCGGCGCGGAGGAGACTGTGAAACCCCAAGTGGCAACAAACAACAACAACTTTTCCATGAAGTGGAATACACACCGTTAATTATATATGGTATATTCATTATATAAAGCACAGAGACTCAGAAACCAAGCAGTAGGTGGACACAGGAATACACCACGGCCGAGGTTCACTGCACAGATAGTGTGTGGTGATTTGACGAGGGTTTGATTTGATTTGCCCTGTTAGTGACTAAGGCTTATATATTAAATGCAGTTTAATGATATGGAATTAATTAAGGATTTACTTTGTTTAGCTTCAGAGGGCTGCATTATATATATATATATCATCTGAGCTGACACCAGTGAACACAGGGAACTGAAGGCCGATGTGTTTTCAACTAGTGTCACAAAGTCCCCTCTAGCCCTTTTCTCTTTTTAAGCATCTCCAGATACATGCTGAGCGACCCCTGGCGGGAGTTTTTGGTGACTTCGTGTTCCAAACATTGTGTTACAACCCACAAAAGTGAAAATCCCTCTAGATATATTATTACAGCCATTTCTAATGCACATGGATCATTTCCCTTTATTTAAACTGCTGAGCTTGTCTTCACATGGCTTCACAGTGGAGATAGTTTGTGTTGCTGCAGTGTTGGATTGCAACTCCCACAAATCCATGGATCTATTAGAGTTGCAGTGTATTTTTTAATATTGTGGCAATTATCTGGCGACCAAAACAACAAAACCAACATTCCTCTAGTGCTATCCTTTTTTAAATTTAGTTCACATACTTGTGAGGGTAAGCAAACGTGTCTCGACAACATTTCGCACTCCCCTGAAACTCTTTTCCTCAGTCACACATTGTGTAAAAAGGAACTCGTGGACAGAGACAGAACTCTGATAAGCAATATTAAAACGTACATTGCACAGTGCAGAGTCCAGGTTGTGTAAAAGCAGGCTTGTCATTATTTGTTACAGATCTACCCTCTGTTCAAATACCCCGATCTGCTGAGGTCACTCATGGATTGGTGAGAGCATTACAAACACCCCTGCAAGTTCATTTGGGCCATTTTCAGCAATCGATATGGGAACTGTTTATGCATGACGTGTTTGACAAGCTATGTGACGCAAAAGGCAGATACACAAGGTTGCACTAAAAAAAGCAGATTGTGCTGTGGTAACGGTTTGTGCCCAATGCATGAAGTAAGCCTAAACTTGGTCCTATACTGGTGTGATTACACTATGTAGAGAATAACACTCCCTAAATTTAGATTGAGAGTGAACATGAGAGTGAATTAATTATAATGACATAAAGTAAAAGTTAATAAACGTTTCTCCTGCTGTAAAATGTGGACAGACCTTATAGCAGAACTTGCATTTCTTGGAAAAAGTTTTCTTTATTCACACATGTTTCATTAATAATAATGATTAATAATGAAAGTCCATGTGCAGGGCTTTATAAAACAAGATCACACTGTACAAAATATACATTATGATGTAAAAGAAAATACAGTATGTGCTCTGCAGGACCAAATGAGAACAAGTTTTCCATAAATGTGGACCTCTGTATCTGATGTTGGGAAAGATGAAGATTAGATCCTATCGTATCCTGTAATCTACACTACAGAAACAAAGAAACCTGAGTTGCAGCATTGCAGCAGGCCTCTCACAGTGCAGTTCATCATTTTCTTACAGTGAAGCAACAGTGATAGAAAGATGGAGGCGGGGCTGCGTGAGGACTGTGTGATGCGTGCATGCCACATTCAATTTCATTAACTCGTTCAGGCGACACACAGTGTTCCCTTCTTGTTTTCAGCTCATCGGTCCAGGTTCTGATATGAGCCTAAAGTCCACAAAGGCGCATTGATGCCATAAAGCGCACAAAAGGCCGCCCCTGTCTGTCTGTCCGGGCCAATTGAGTTACCGGGGAGACTCACGCCCCGCCACATCACGGGCACCTCCTCCTCCGCACCGATCAGACCATAAATACAGCTTTGTGCACAGTGTTCGTCCTTCTCAATCAGTCCAATTACTGTTTGGAGGCTGTTGGAGCCGTCTGTCACTTCTGTTGCCGTCGCCGTCGCCGTTTCACATAACTCTCAAGTAAGTATGTTTTCAAGTTTTTTTTTTTTTTTTTTTTTAACTTCGTGCGTGTTCTTGATTTTGCAGGTTTTCCTTTTGTTTTTATGAAAAGTGAACCATGCCTTGCCTGGTTTCTGCAAAACATAAGTGCGTGCTCGGGGTTCAGGTGTGCAGCGATGGAAGTAATGTTTCACTTATGGAATTAAGCTGCACGTTTTCAACAGTCTAAACTTAGTAAAACTGGATAAACTAGTTGTCTTGTGTGTATGCTCGAGAAACTGGGATGTATGAAACGTATTTGCAATATGGATCGGTGGGGATTTTACTTTGAAAGGGTTGTATGTTAAATGTCGACGTGTGATGTCTACTGAAGGTTGCAGTAGGCTTCACTGGGTTTGTGCAAATATTTGACAGCAAACACACGTCCACGTTAAACCTGCACTTTATGATCACTTATTGTATGACTGCACATTGTGATTTAAATTTTTTAAGCCTTCTTATGTTTATTTACACAACATCATGCAGCCAACAACTCTGAGTGAACTATGAACTTGTGTTACAGAACTTATCTGTTTTAAAGGCCAAAGTTCAACCATTCAAGCCAAATATTTACAGAGGTGGTGCAAGAGATGCAGGAAGTTAGAGGCAGTTGTTTGTTATGTTTGATTAGAAAAAAAAAGAGCTTCCTCATACTTGCTAAAGTCTTGTAGAGTTTTGGATTTATCTGTGAAATAACTTGTTTTCTGTCCTCTAGGATGACTCATCAGTTCCCATCCCTGTCTCCGGAGCAGAAGAAGGAGCTCTCTGACATTGCTCAGAGGATCGTGGCTCCAGGAAAGGGAATCCTGGCTGCAGATGAATCCACAGGTGAGCCCCCCGAGGTCTCGGTAACTGTTCACTGGCGAGAGGTGACTGCAGAGTGCGCAACTGAAATGATTCCTCCTCTCCTTTCAAGGAACCATGGGAAAGCGTCTCCAGAAAATCAACGTGGAGAACAACGAAGAAAACCGTCGCTACTTCCGTGACCTCCTCTTCTCCTCCAGTTCCTCCATGTCCAACTGCGTGGGTGGGGTAATCTTCTTCCATGAGACGCTCTACCAGAAAGCGGACAGCGGCAAGCTCTTCCCCCAAGTTGTCAAGGATCAGGGCATTGTTGTCGGCATCAAGGTGAGGAACCTATAAGTGCAGACCAGTTGAAGTTGCACGCACCTTCAGGTCTTCCACATGTTGACCCTTGTGAGTTAATGCATGTGTTTGGTTTTCTTGCTTCAGGTGGACAAAGGCACAGCTGGTCTAAATGGAACAGATGGCGAGACCACCACACAAGGTAAAAAAAAAATGCAACTCTACTGCAAGATTGCAAGTTTAAGCATAATGCAGAAGAACCATAACGTTCTTTGGCTTATTTCTCTATCTAGGTCTCGATGGCCTCTCAGAGCGCTGTGCCCAGTATAAGAAGGACGGTTGTGACTTTGCCAAGTGGAGGTGTGTGCTCAAGATCTCAGACGGATGCCCATCAGCTCTCGCCATTGCAGAGAATGCCAATGTCCTTGCCAGATATGCCAGCATCTGCCAACAGGTGTGCAGCCATATTCTCAATTCATTGTGATTACAAATATTTGCTGCAAGTTCGAATTTTAAAAGAAATCTGTATTCATGTACCCGCCAGAACGGCCTGGTGCCCATTGTGGAGCCAGAGATCCTGCCTGATGGAACCCATGACCTGCTGCGCTGCCAGTATGTCACAGAAAAGGTTGGTTCATGATGGTTGTTTTTTTTGGCTTAGTCAGCCAACCACCAGCAGTGAAATATTTCCCCATCGATGATATTTTTGAAGCATGTGTAGTAATAAATCTGCCTCTTCATCTTTTTAGGTTCTGGCTGCTGTGTACAAGGCTCTGTCTGACCACCATGTGTACCTGGAGGGCACTCTGCTGAAGCCCAACATGGTCACTGCTGGACACTCCTGCGCCAAGAAGTTCACCCCTCAGGAGGTTGCCATGGCTACAGTGACCGCTCTGAGACGCACCGTCCCCGCTGCTGTGCCTGGTGAGTGTCACAAGGAAAGCGGGGAGGACTTAAGTTTCTCAATCATTGTTAAAGTACAAGCTTAAAGCTGCTCTGTGTCTTTTCAGGCATCTGCTTCCTATCTGGAGGCCAGAGTGAGGAGGAAGCCTCCCTCAACCTGAACGCTATCAACCAGGTGCCCCTCCATCGCCCCTGGAAGCTGACCTTCTCTTACGGCCGTGCACTCCAGGCCTCTGCTCTTGCAGCCTGGCAGGGCAAACCTGCCAACAAGGCAGCTGCACAGGAAGCGTTCTTCAGCAGGGCCAAGGTGAGCATCAGAGGTCATGAAGAGCCATCTCTAATCATGAATGAATGCTAATAATTAATTCACTTATCAATTTGTAGTTGTGGACTGTGCACAAAACTGGCTATTAAGTCACTCTTATCTTACATTACCTAGCTTTATACTGACTGGTAAATCATTATAAAAAGCTTTGTGTCTGTTCAGTCTTGCACTTATGTGGTTTAGGTAACCTGGCTGATCATTAACACTCAGATTTGACTTTGCCCCAACTCCCCCCTCCCCCCTTCAGATCAATGGCCTGGCTTCCAAAGGAGAGTACAAGCCCACCGGCTCAGCTGACCAGTCCTCCATGCAGTCTTTGTACACTGCCAGCTACGTCTATTAAATACTGTGAACATTAAAAATAAATACACGTGGACCAAATATGCAACAACAAATGCCTCCGCTGGATTTCCCTCTTCCCTATACTACCAACACCAGGGGGAGACTACTGTTTAAAATATTGAACAACTGTTTGTCTATTCAATGAAATGACTGGAAATAAATTAAGTGACCAGAATGTTGTTCGTGTCATTGGAGTTTTTGTAGTTCTGGATCTAATGCCACAACTTCAGAGCCATATTAAAAGCATTGTTGGCTATACATTTTTCTATAGGACTTTTTTCTTTCTCGTCAGAGTGACATAAGTGTGGTTTTTTGGCATATAGCAGCCATTCAGTCATGTCAGAATTACTAATGTCAGAGTCAAAATGCATTTGAATCTGTTCTGTCATGCTTACTTAATGAAACAAAGATGGGAGGGAAAAACAGTTAGGATGTTGCCAATCAAATTGCACAACAGTCATGAGGAGATACTAAAAGCATTTAAAGACACAGTCTCTGTGATCAAGGAAGTTGCTCCAGAACCAAAATTTAACAGATTACAACAGAGTAATTTTCATGAGCCAAAGCAAGAAATGTTCTGATGCTAATGTTTAACAAAAATATTCATTGTTCATCTGTGATTAAAGCAATTATACACATGTAATCTAACTAATGGTGGCCTTCAATTTGGTATTTTTGTCTTCTGTATGTACCTATGATAATTTATAATGCACTGTGTGTGAGGTTTGACTTGCAGAGTATGTGTTAGTGCACATAGATTTATGTGTGTAATATGTCAACAATCTGAGCATCTTTTCTTTCAAAAAGTTTATTTAACAAGACAATACACATTACATTTATTGCACTATATAGCTAAAAGCTAAAGCCAATCCCTTGTCTTTTTCACACATTCACAAACAATACATGGCAACAGGTTTACAAGCAAGCATGTAGATGAAAATACTGAACTACAAAAAACATACACATCAAGTCACAAGCTTAGAAAAATATGCTGCGTGGATGTCACTGTCATGATATAAAAACCCAAATGTATTCAAATAGACTGTCACATCTTTTAAACATCTGTAAAGTTGCAGTCGCATGTGGATACGGAGTGTATATGGAGGTTCACAGTGATTCTCAAAAGCTCCAAGTAGAGTCTAAACTATGCCAACACTACACATACTGTAATAATGCAGATAATGTACAGACATAAGAGTTAATGGGTTAAAGGCTAACAGTAAGTGACCATATATAATTAAAATATAAACTGAGTGGTTATTCAACTTATGGTTAGATTTCTTCTGGGTTGGAGTGTTGTTGAACAAAAAGAAAATGTACTTCTGATTTATTTTAATGTAAATATAGAAGCATGGGCTCTCTGTCTGACTTTAACAGTGTTAACTAACATCAATGTATATTATTGTTTGTACAATATACATTAAGGTTAGGCAATATAACATTACCACAGAGTTAATCAATTGACTTTATTGACAGTTATCAGTACCATGTAAGATCTGTTCATCTTGAGGCTTTAATTTAAAGTAATGTAACATGTTTACTGACCCATACAGTAACAAACATTGCTAGATAAATTAGTGGTTAAGATCTTCCCTTATAAGTGCATGTCAAAAAAAATGTATTCAGCATTACACATATGGTAGCTGTAGGTAACTTAAAAAAAGCTGCGGCTGGGTTATAGGGCTACTGCCTCTAGGTGGAGTAACATTCACATACAATATTCTGCACAGAATTCTCACATATTTCTTTCACAGAAGAGGAGTGCTGCAAGCAAACCAGTGTTAGTGATTGTAGAACAATGCTTCAAAAAGGTTGATTTTAGTTTGATGTTGTGTCATTCCGTGGTGCCGGTATGTGCTGGACAATGACCTGTTGAAGATATGGAGCGGGTTGTTAGGGGAGAGGACAACAACAAAACAGTAAAGTGATGACTGACACACAGCTGTGAATAATACTATTTATTTATATTATTGTTTTAGAAATGTAATGACCATTATTTTATAATTGCATTTGTGTTTAATTATGATTTTGTGGCATACTTTATGAAGGAATTTAAGATTCACACTAGATTGCTATGTTTAGTTTCAAACTTTTCAAACTGTCAACTGTAGCAGGGGTTCAGGAGACAACATAAGAAAGCTGGTGATGAGGGCTAACCAATGTATTTGTTTTGAGGGGTCACGAGTCAAAAAGGTTGTGAACCACGGGTCTGTAAGACTTTGGAAAAGTCCTACAAAAGATTTTTCTTCACCTCTCTCTTTCATTAATTTAGTTTTACCTTTCATGCCTTCATGTGTGTCTTTTATTTGCGGTTTTAACTTATTGTTTGTGGATTCTTGTCTACTGTCTGCAACTTCTATGATGGTGGAATGGTCGAGCGGTAGAGGTCTGTTTTAGATAAAGTAACAATGAAAAATATTTTACCTGAAGAATCTAAACAAAGCTAATACAATTCATAAGTTTTATCCAGATTTCTCTGATTGGTGTGTGAAATATGTCTCTCACGACTCTCTTATGCATTTATTCTGGTTTCGTGAACAAAGTGTGGAATGATATCCAAGAATGGTTATTTATAACTTTTAAAACAAAAAATAATAATTTGCAGCTGTATTTTGAAGAATGTTGTAAAAATATCCTGTTACATCCTGTGATAAAATATCTGTGGGATGGCAGATTATGTTCTCCTCCCTTGTGTACACAAATCTAATTTGAAAAACCTTGGAAAAAACCACAGGCCCCTACTTTACAGATATGGAACGAAATGATGGGATGATTTTTGAAGAGGGGGTTGGGTATATGTGTTATGTGTAAGATGAATGAATGTTATACGACTGTCCATGTATCTCATATCTTGCACCTTGTGTTTTGTGTATGCAATGATACTGATGTCATGTTAGATTGAGACCATCATGGGATAGTATACTTTCTTATACATCAAGGTTTTATGATATATGTTTGTTGACAAGAGACTGTTAGCAAAACCTCATGGTGGAAACTAGAATGCAAATGAAGACAATTATAAGAAAAAAAGGGAAAATGTTTTACCTGACTGTTTGTGGACTTCAGAGCTAACCGTGCGACGACACACAAGAAGATGAGAAGCACTGACACACACAGAGAGGAACTGAACAATATGCCTTCGACACTAAAAAGCTGCTCCTAAAGCAAGACAGTGACAGATAAAAGTTATGCATATACTGTAACAATGTGCATGTCATCCATTCAGTCTAACAAATGTAAGCTGCAACTCACCGCTCTGTTTAAGGCCCAGTCTCTGTCTGTCTCCACCCACTTACTCTGGTACCTTAAGTAGCTAATATGGGACAAGCAGAATATTCTGTAGCCAACAGAGACTACAATTCCCAAGAGGGAAACCACATACATGGCCAAACACACAGTCACCTGGGAAAGATAAATCCAACAAGATTAGGTGAGTTATTGATAACGATATGAAGATTAAGGGTGACTAAAAAAAGAGAAAACCACAGTATACCTACCATCTTCTTGGATGGGTGCATCTCAGTGTAGATAGACAGGTTACCACAGACAAGAAACTTTTTAAAAAAGCAGAAAAAAAAGATTAGCACAGTATATGACTTATCCAGCCTTGTTCACATGTCATGTCTCTGTAGCCAAGTGGGAAGTCATTTTTGATTGACTTCTGAAAACATTTTGAAAGGTCAAGATTGTAATGCAGAATATGATAAAATCCACTGCTAACAAGTCAAATGTTATGTACCAGAAGTCCCTGCCAGAAGGGAATGTAGATTTTACCAGACGTTGACACATCTTCACTGACCAGAGAAAAGCCCATCAGGACCTCTGCACAGCCTAAGATCACAATGACAATCTGGAAGGGAGAAGAGGAACAGTGCGTTAAAGTACTGTCCGTACAGCTCTGTATGTATATGTCTATTTCTATACACTTATTTACTACTAATGGCTGTTATTTTGCTGTGTTACCCCAAGAGCTCTGGGCTCTTTTTGGACAAAGCGATGCAGAGGCTTGCTGGACATCAGCACCATTTGATCCACAGCCTTTTCCCCATCCTTTCCTGTTGTTTTATCCCTAGTTGTTGACTCAGCACCCTCCATGTCCAGTACACTATACAATGTGTTTAGTTGTGTGAGGAGAACAAGAATTAATCAAACCACATGTAAACTCTCCCCTTCGACAGCACAGACTATTTTGAGACTGCTAAGCAGATTTAAAGAGACACTTTTCATGGCGTAGTAGAATTACCTCAGATGCACGCTGCATGCAAGATAATAAAAGCAGCCTCAAAGAATGCAGGGATATATTATGTAAAAACATGAATTGACCCACCTTGTTCCAGTTTTTCATGTAGAGAAGCAGTGTGAATGGTAACGAAAAGGGAATGTTGTGGGTGGACAGAGGAAGTGGGGAAATTTGAGAGTAGCTTTTTCCTTTTTTCAATAGGGGGAGGAGCTGAAGACTTGCTGTTTCCCAGTACAGTCCACTCAGTCACATTCAAATTCCCCTCAAATCTGTGTGGAAATCCAGAGACAGATAATCACATTGCACAACAATATCAAATGTTAAAATGAAACTGTCCACTATAGATCTAATAAATCTCAGCTCTGTGAGGTTAATTCACTCTTTACTTTTTTCATTAAACAAACATTATCCCACCATATTTATTTAGTTAAACTAAAAGTAAAATGTGGACTATGAATGTATACATTATGCTGTACTCAGGTTGAAGCTTTATTTAAATTTGTTTCATTATCAATCAATCTTCCATACCAAATAAATCGATTATAATGATAAATTATCAGAATAGTTGCTGGTTCAAATGGGTTACTATGTTTCAGAGCCCAATCCCCATCACCTATAGGACCTACAACTCCACATTAGGTGCAAAATACATTCTTCCTTAACTACTCAACATTACTACAAAAGACAAAAGAGGAACATAAGAAATGACTAACATTTCTCTTTTGGGTCGAATTTACGGCTTTACCCCGAACTCTCTCAAACGGAAAAGAAAACCTCAAGTGTAATTTTGAGGAAGTGGAACTGCACTGTGTACTGGTAGTCAGTGTTTCTCACAAGACATACGATAACACAATACAATCTCATTCATAGCCAATATTATCCCTATCAGCAATGACAGGCTGCACAGAATACAACATATGGAGCTGGAATAGAAACACTGATAACATATGTAGCTATTTTCTGGGCCTGCAACCATCTACATTCATTAGATCTCTATTCCATCACAGACTTATCATCTCCACAGAAGCAAGAGCAACCCTACAGGGTGACATATGACAAAAATCAATACCTTCGAACTGAGGAGAAATGCTGTTAACACTGACAACAAACTCATAGCCATGTAATGGAAAGATAAACAACCACCTACATTAGAGAGATAGGTAAATTAGTGTAATATATACCGAATGAAGGATAATGTGTGACTCTAGTCGTCAACATAATACTCTGTTTATATTCATATTAGTATTTATTCCCTTCTCTTTTAATAGGTACATATTCTGAATAAATCAGGGGCGGGACCTGAAGCGGGTGGATGGTGGTGGGAAGGAGGAAGTGGTGGGTTGATCTGGCATCTATGTGATGTTTTATTCAGCCCTAGGTCGGTTATGTTACAAAACCAATAGAAAACGGTGCAAAAACTTTAATAATGTTATCTAGAGAAGATCTTACTCTCAAAAAACAGTTTTAAGGTGATATCATTTCATTTGATGAATGTACAGTCATTAATGACATTGCATTATTGGCATGATACGATAAATACTTCATACTATTTACAGTCCGTCATGTAAACCCTCTAGGTGTTCAAGTTTCAGATGAGAGACTTCTGATGATCAAAAATACATACAAAATACATTCAGTCTCTCAACGGATGGTGTCTCAATAAGCAACAGAAAGAAAGTTTGTGACGTTTGTGAATGAGTGTAAAGACTCTCTCAGGTATTAAAAAAATATATTATATTAAAAATACCTACATGGATAACAACAATGAAGATGGTGGTCAAAATACTAGTAGTTCATATTTAAAAAGATATCAAAAATTACTTTAAATATACCAACATTGTTTGTCCATTACACACATCTGCAAAATGTAAACCAGAAGTCTCGTATTTTCAGGTGTGTCCTCGAGGTACCAGTGATTTGTCAGGTGCTCGTTGGTTCAGGAACATGGGGTGTCCTGCAACATAACAAATGATTAGTATTTTAACATCGGAACTAGTAAAGATTCACCCAACAAAACAAACCAAATCTTTACCGAGCAATAGGATGAGTAGGACAGAAGGTGGTGCTCCAGGAGATGTGTTGCTCTTCGTCTGATCTCTCCTTCGCTGTTGTACTGAATGGCCTCTAACAGTGAAACTCCGCCTTGCCGTACAAACTCCTCTGCCACCTAAAGGGATGGAATAACTCTGGTAAAAACTGCTCATCATTCTCTACTTGGGTTAATCCTACCGGCAGAATCATAGTTTTAAAGGTTTCACCAATTTACCTGTGGACCACTAACTACCAGCATGAACAGGACATCCATACTCAGCGTCACCATCTCTTGGTCGGCCATTTTCAGAGTGGCACAGAGAGCAGAAAGCAATCCAAGATGAGCCAGCTGGACACAGAACTCCTTTTTCTTGTGGGCAATATTTGCTAAAACCCTCAGGATCTGAGTATAATGAGAAGGACCAGCGAGATGGAGTGTAACATTGTGGACTGAAGGAGCCAAAGAACATGGTTCATCATTAAGTGCTACAATGATATATTCAATGAAGGCAATAGTATAAAAATAAAAACTTGTACAGACCATGGTATTGATTCCTTGAGAGAAAGGGAGGAGCTGGATCAGTCCAGGGACCAAGTTAAGAGTCAGCAGAGCAGAGCACAAAGCACTGGAGTAAGCTGTGGCAGTAAGATTAGAACAAACTACATCAATCAATATACAAATATCAATCCTCAGATGTAAATTCTCAATTCCTAGTACAGAAGGAGTTCCCACCACCTTCACAATTTCATATGCAGTAAAAGTTGAATCGGGTGTGCATTGGAACAAACAGTTATTCAATTATTGTTCGACAGGTGATGCAGTTTCCAGGTGGCTTGTTACTGAAAATAGAATCCAAACTAAACTTGACGTATCAACAATGATCAAGTGTAAAATATTACTTTGTGTGTGCTTACACTCTTCATGTCTGCGGGTATGAGATGTCCCTGAACCCAGAGAACACGTATATATCAGAAATCCCAGTTTACACAGTTTAAAGACCGGAAATAAGTGCAGACGTATGTGTATTATTCGAACCTGTGAGGTTGTTGAGGACCCAGGCACTCTCTCTGGCCAAAGCTGGCTGGGTCTGTAAGTAGGCGTGAAGGAGTGCACACAGAGCAACCACGATACCGACATCACCCACTTGAGAGTTCAGGGTTTCCACTGGGCAGGAGGACAGGAGGTTTCCCACGCACCTCAGCAGAGGACAGATGAGCTAGAGAGGAAGAGGAGAAATCTTCATGTCAGTTAAAATACCATACTGGTTATTTTTTTATGCTTTCAGCCTAAAGATTACAAACGGTGTATACTTTACATTGTGGTTGATTTACTTTGCTTCCTGCCTCTCAGTATGAAAATCAATTATTCCTTTGGATAAGTAATGTGAGTGAATAGAGCTACTTTCTCACCTTAAATTGTATTATTGTATCTTATTTTAGCTATAGTAAAGAGGTAATATAGCACCACATCATGTACCACCAAAGAACGGCATGCAACTGCCTTACTATGCAATAATGGCCTCGTTTTACCAAAATAAATAAAAGCATAAATAGTT